TGATAAGAGGAGTACGAGGCATTTTAATAATAATCAAAGGCTGTGTGAACACAACTTTCCATTCACAACTCTTCAACACATCTCTTCGATCATTTAACACTATTATAACACCACGGTGTATATAATGATATGTATTAGATATTATGGTAATACATTCCTTTATTATTACCATTGACAAATATATAAAGAGATTAAGGACATTTATAAATATAAGGTAAAGTAGGAGGGTTATTAATACACCGGATTCTAAATCATTAATCAAAACCGATCCATCACGGTATTGTCTTTTATATTAGAATTTATAACCATTATATGAACTTGAATTTTATATTAAACTAATAGACATATAGGTCACATAGAATATAAAATATTCTTACATTCTCCCACTTGACCTTTGTGTCGACTTAAGGGTTTAATAACTTTATTGTGCACTCTAATATCAAGTTCACTTATCTTTACTAAATTTTTAATTGATCGAATCATGGCGGTTGTATGCCATTAAACGACATAGTCCCTTCCATGTATCACAAATCAATGCCAATTTTAATCTTTAAATTTGAGAAGAACCTTTATTTCTCAAACCAACCATATGTTATCTACAAACCATAAGTGTATACGTATACTTTAATGATAACATAATTAATAAATCAGAAACATAACTTTATGTGAATTCTTTGTGTCAAATACATAATGAGCATCCCATAACTAAAACAGCAAAGCCTTATCTATAATACCCATACGCTCTACATGGCCATTGAACGCCTTGGGTGGTAAACCTTTAGTTAGCGGATCCGCTACCATCATGTCCGTCCTTATGTGCTCAAATGACACTCTCCGTTTCTGAACTTCTTCTTTAACAGACAAGTACTTTAACTCCATGTGCTTATCACCCTTAGAGTACTTATCGTTCTTTGAAAAGAAGACAGCTGCAGAATTATCGCAGTAAATTCTCAGCGGCTTGGCTATAGTGTCGACAATCCGAAGCCCTGAGATAAAGTTCCGCAGCCATAATGCATGAATTGTGGCCTCAAAGCATGCCACAAATTCAGCCTCCATAGTGGAAGTAGCAATGACAGATTGCTTTCCACTCTTCCATGATATTGCTCCCTCAGCTAATAGGAACAAGTAGCCAAACGTCGATTTTCTGCTATCAATGCATCCGGCATAGTCTGAATCTGAATATCCAATGACTTCTAGCTGATCAGATCTCCTATATGTAAGCATGTGCTCTTTGGTGCCTTGCAAGTACCTGAGAACCTTCTTTGCAGCTTTCCAGTGGTCCATTCCAGGATTACTTTGATATCGACCCAACATTCCAACAGCAAAGCTGATATCGGGCCGAGTACATGTCTGAACATAGTTCAAACTCCCAACCAACGATGCATAGGGAATTCTATCCATTTCTTTACGCTCCAATTCATTCTTAGGACATTGCATTTTACTGAACTTATCCCCCTTCTGAATTGGAGCTATTCCTGCAGAGCATTTTTCCATTCTATATCTCTCTAAGATCTTATTGATATATCCTTTTTGAGACAAACTTAACAATCCTTGTGATCTATCGCGAAAGATTTCTNATCTTATTGATATATCCTTTTTGAGACAAACTTAACAATCCTTGTGATCTATCGCGAAAGATTTCTATCCCGATCACATAAGATGCCTCACCCATATCTTTCATTTCAAAGTTCTTAGAGAGATACTTCTTTACATCATGTAACATACCCATGTCATTTGCAGCAAGCAAAATATCATCAACATATAGGACTAAAATCAAAAACTTACTCCCACTGACTTTAATGTAGATACATCGATCAACAATGATCTCTACAAAACCATATGATGTGATGGTATCATAAAACTTTATATACCATTGTCGAGAAGCTTGTTTTAATCCATATATATTGACTTTCTCAGCTTGCACACTAAATTTTCTTTTCCTGCGACCACGAAACCTTCAGGTTGGTCCATATATATTTCCTCCTCAAGGTCACCATTCAGAAAGGCGGTTTTTACATCCATCTGGTGAAGCTCAAGATCATAATGAGCCACCAAAGCCAAAACAATTCTAAGAGAGTCCTTCTTTGAAACAGGAGAGAATGTCTCTTTATAGTCAATGCCATCTTTCTGAGTGAAACCTTTAGCAACAAGGCGAGACTTGCGTCTCTGAGGTTTACCTTTCGAGTCACGTTTAGTCTTATAGACCCATTTGCAACCAACGGTTTTGAAACCATCGGGCAACTCTACTAAGTCCCATACATGATTGTCACTCATAGATTTCATCTCTTCTTTTGAGGCATCAAACCACTCTTCAAAATTGTCACTTTCCATGGCCATTTTAAATGAGATCGGATCATCATCCATGCTTAAGTCACATTCATTTTCAATAGTGTAGACCACATAATCGCTTGGAATAGCAGATCTTCTTTCTCTTCCAGATCGCCTTAAAGGTATTTGTGGTTCACTATTCTCTTCTTGAATTATGACATGTTCATCGACAGTATCTTCAGCTAATGGGACTGGCACATTATTATGTTGTACTATTGTGTCATTAAACTCTGATGCAACAATAGGAACAACTACCTCAGGTGTAACCACAGGTGAAGGAACTTCAACCTGAACTTCATTAATGTTCACCTTTCGTGTTTCACCACTCCCACTAGTTTCACCGTTTTCAATGAATCTAACATTGCCCGAATCAACTATTCTCGTACTATGGTTAGGGCAATAAAATGTGTACCCTTTGATTTTTCAGGATAGCCAATGAAAAATCCACTGACAGTCCTCGAATCAAGTTTCTTTTCATGTGGATTATATAGCCTTACTTCTGCTGGGCAACCCCATACACGTAGATGCCTTAAACTGGGTTTTCTTCCTGTCCACATTTCATAAGGAGTCTTAGGAACTGCCTTACTAGGAACCCGGTTCAGCACATACGTTGCAGTCTTTAATGCATGTATCCACAAGGAAAGGGGTAAAGAGCAATTACTTAGCATGCTCCTAACCATCTCTATTAAAGTACGGTTCCGCCTCTCAGCTACACCATTCTGCTGAGGAGTACCAGGCATAGAGTACTGTGCACAAATGCCCCTACTTTCAAGTAGCTTTGCAAATGGACCAGGACATTGTCCACTTTCATCGAATTTTCCATAAAATTCACCACCTCTGTCAGATCTCACTACTTTAATTTTTCTATCTAACTGCCTTTCGACCTCATCAATGAATACCTCTAGGACATTCACAGATTTAGACTTTTCATGCAGTAGATATGTATATCCATACTGTGAGTAATCATCAATAAATGTGATGAAATATTTTTCGCCACTCCATGAAGGAGCATCGAAAGGGCCACAAATGTCGGTGTGTATTAACTCAAGAAGCTGAGTGCTCCTTGTGGCTGGTTTCTTTAATGTATGTTTAGTCTGCTTTCCCTTAATGCAGTCTATGCATACATTTAAGTCACTGAAATCTAGCTGAGGAAGAATTTCATTCTTTATTAACCTCATAATTCTTTCTTTAGAAATATGACCTAGTCGTTGATGCCACAAGAAAGCAGAATTTTCATTAGTTGCACTACGCTTAATGCCTCTACTTTCAACATTAAATAGGGATTCAGAAAACTTTGCATCAAGGTTGAACTTATAAAGTGAATCATAT